GGCTGACAAACGTAAATCATCATGCTTATCAAATCTCAAGATGTTCATTCGCCGAGTTAGTTGTTTTACTGCTGTTAATTAATATTTTATTAGAATGCTGATATACCTATATATATATATATATATTTGACCTTGCTTTTTTAGATATAATTATATGTCATTATATTTAAAATCAGCGGCTAAAATAATAAATTTTTCATTTTACAATATATCATTATATCTTCAATAAAATATTTCAAGATACTTTATTTGAGATTTAAGAGGTATTTAAATATACTTGAGGAATTATTTTTAATTAAAAAGTTTTTTCATTTGAATCTGAACCGATTAGCAAGCCAATATATTAATTGTTACGACAATCAATTAAGAAGTTAACTTTTATTACTTACATATTGTATTTACGTATATGTATGTTAAATAACAGAGAGAATATTTCATTATCCGCAAAGATCGATTTTTTAAAATTTTATTCGAACTGAACTTATTATAATCGCGATGTCATCGAGATTACAAATAATTTTCTGGGTGAAACTTCCGCATTAATCTTCATTGGAACGCATATAAAATCATACTGTTGAGAAACCCGCGTGTGGCTTTCGCAGATTTCCATTCTGGCTAAATATAAACTGTGACTTTATTTACTCTTGGCAAGAAGTCGATTCTCGTCGGCCTCGAGTCCGAGTCACGGCGCTCGCGTGCAAGTTTATCGATGAATTATTAATTAGCGTTTTACTCGCCGATCTTCATTTATTCTCTAGTAAATTTTTGCGAGCGACCGCGATAGTGAATCCATATTACGAAATTAACGGAACTCTCGAGAGGACTCGGAATTCTCCGCAGTAATCTGGAGAGCGTGCACATTTTATAATATTTTTGTTGTTAAACAAGCCGCAGAGAAGCTCGAAAGTTAAATGAACCAAATTTGAGACGCGGTTTTAATAACATGAAAAATTCGCGAGATGCTTTTTATTGTTTTATGCGATTTTGACTTCAATCAATTAGAGTAAAATTCGGGCGACGAATAACTAATGTTCGTATCGTCGAGAAGATAAGAATATGCAAATATTGCAATCTTGAATCTGTTTATCAGGCTCTGGCGCTAAGTTCGTCAATTCATCATCGATTAACTTGGAAGTTGTTGTCTCCATGAATTCGAGCACGTGATTGTCAGTCGATCTCTTGCGTTTCGGACGTGTTCAATTTATTATGTAATTTTCTCGATTTTGCATATTTTTTTATGAAAATGTTTTGTACAGCATAATATTCAATAGTATCCAACAGTATCCAGCAGCAAAACGGAGCAATTGGTCCGGAGACCTAACCTTGTACATTGAAGGATTTTAATTCTGTCGATCGGGGGCTATTATGATCGTAAGTAATGCGATTCATCATCTCGCCGTCATGCCGTAATTTGTTACTAATCAATTAGGAAGCGGGATCTCGATGATGATTGGGCAATTTTCTCGCGGGGTGCGATAAATCTGTCGCGATAAATTGCGGCGTTGCCCTAACTATGGGTCAAGTAGTCACGATTCAAACTGTGTCGGTGAACGATCGCACAAAAATAAAACCTCTCTCTTTTCTTTTTTTTTTTCTCTTTCTCTCTCTCTCTCTCTCTCTCTCCATCTTTCTCTGTTACAATGGGACAAAAATAGACTTACTGGAAACGTACAGACGTGATATTTCGACGCGTGTCCGATGCCAAGAAGACCTCAATTCGTAAGTCGTGCCAGTTTGAATAGCAAGAGCGTTATAATCGTAGTCGAATGCGATTACCGTGACGTAAGATTGTTCAAAATTATTCAAATTTATGTAGGAGACAAATCTTTGAGTTTAGTTTTTCAAAGGCAAAACGTTGTAAGAAGAAAAAATTTATTCTATACTTTTCGTCTAATTTTCATACGATATTATTTTACGCTACATCTCGCGACCATTCCCTCCATAATCATGATTTAATATCGCTACGGGTATGAAACATCACGTACGATATGTACCGTGATCTATCAAATTAACGATCGTCGACCGAATCTCACGCGGAAGATTCTAACGTAACGGAACCACCTCGTGAAACACCATCTCATTTCCAAGCCGATAAAGTGTACGCCGGTATCGCTCGCGGGTGAAAAACAGGGATTATTGCTGCTAAATAAAATACAAAGAAAGAGAGAGAGAGAGAGAGAGTTTCCCGACGCAGTAAGGCGTGGCGTATCCGCGGCCACTCGCTTGACACTCGCCGTTATCGCGTCCAAGACGGGAAGCGTTCGTCAATGCAACACGGATCTCCGAAGTCATCCACGGTGAATTCTTCGCCGTGGGTCTCCGCTCCAGACTGCACACCTCGTCGCCGAAGGCGCGCGATCTTATCTGACTCGTAAACTTTCTTTATCTCAATCATAAATGCGTACACGCGCAATCTCGGAGCAACTTGGAGCGATTAAAGTATTGTTCACGGTCAGATATCGGGTTATTACGTTGTAACTTGTGGCTCGATTGTAATGCAATTGCATCTAGATTGTTCATAAATAAGCAAACATTTGCGTGTCGGACGAGGAATGTGTAGCATAAAAGATATCCGATGGTTTTTTAAATAAAAAACGGTGAAGACATATGTGTTTATGATGGATTGTTTCCTTCCGCGAGATTATTTTAAACCCGAAAGATTTAGCCTCGCGCAAAGGGCCCGTTTCTGAAGCGGAATGACATTTAAGTTCCGTTTATGCAGACATCGTGCCGTCATTGCGAGGTCAACACTCTTTACTAAAGCCTATGTTAGGCCTCGTCTTACGTAATTATTATTTATCGCGAACCGCCCAGACTTCCGATAGACATAACACGCGTAAACATACGCATGTCTGTTAGCATTCGTGGCAAAGCGAGTGACTAGAAAAACGAAGAAATTTATCTGTCACTTCAAAGTTAACCCCTTTATGCGCGCTGCTTTTTCCCCGATGCACGCCATACGGTCGTAAACCGGTTCCACGTTAACTCGTAGTGTTCGCATTAAACAACATTACTGGCACTATTTCTGGATTCTCGTATTAAAATAATCGACATATATGCATCGCGTATAAGGTAGCTTAATTAATTATTAATTATTTTGTTATTTGTAATAATAAATCTATCTATACGTCTCACAATTCTGCGATTTTAATTGTTTCTCTGATGTATTTGAGGAGTCAAATTTTCTCTTCACAGTTTCCGAATTTAAGCTTTTTGCTAACAATAAGCTACACTTTAGATAGACAAATAGAACGGATATATCGAATTTATTTAGGAAAAAATTATTTTGTAAATAAATTCGATATTGAAACCTAACCCGATATTGAAAGATCAAGAGATGTGTCAGTATTAAACGCTAATGGCTTTACGATTGAAAAAAAGTTTCAAGAACGTCGATCGCATTCTCTCATCTAAGCGCCTGTTATATAAATCACAGCGCGAGTTATTTTTCTCGATGCGGTTTTTAAAATCATCTCGCGCTCGGCGCCGCCTGTACATGTGTGGGAGACTGTTGCGGGATAAAAATAAATATCGATAAATCATACGCTCCGAAATATCCGTCCACGGCAGGAATTTCGTGCAGGATGCGTGAGCGAAATGTCACCTTAGCGCGGTCCGCTAATGCATGAGGAGGAGGCGGGAAATTGATTCGCGGCCAATTGCGCGTGTATTTATATCGTTCCAATTTTCTCACGCCGCGCGCGCACGCCACTTTCCTACGTATGTACGCTCGCGAATTCATCGAGAGTAGTACATATCGTTTTGCGCGTCTCGATTGATTATCACTTCTTCGTTATGTAACTCCGGTCGCGTGATATTCTCTCTTTGAATTCTCATTGAGTGCGACACGTACGTCGATAATTTTTTTTTTTTTTTTTCCCAGTGAAAGAACGCCCATCGGGTGTTTCTCTTAGGTTGGTATATACTTTGGCGAACAACGACGGATTTCGACGACGATAAATTGTCATCACGTTCTGAGAATCGCTGTCGATGGCTAATTATAACTTCGAAAAATATAATCGTCGGTCGTGTGTAAAATAGCAATGAATAGAAATGCGAAACGCAAGGACGTTTTCCTTCTCTTTTTGCCTCGTTTTAAATCGTCGTAATATACGTCGACATTTGGTTGTCTAAAAATTCAATTGTCGATCGTCGCGACCTGCGCCACTCGATTCTATTCTTGTATCGAAAAGAATGCGAGGTGGTTACATAAATTTCGAATTATCGTCGATCCTAGTAATTTTTGGACACAGTGATATTTGAATAATCGTATATGCGTTCTGCGTTTTTCCAGAAGAATTAAAGACCGGCGCGATTGGTACTGGACATTTTGCGCGTTAGAAAATGATGCACGGAGATCGTAATGACCGATCATTTGCACTTCCTGCGGCGCTCTTTCGATACCGCGCAATATTGTGCCCGTAAGCCAATGCTATGACTATTAATGATGAGCGTATTAGTGACTCCGTCACTAACTCTATTCAGTGCTTCGATTTTTTTTTTGTATTTCCATTTACAAAGCGTTAACGAGCTGTTGACTGCCGTTAACGAGCTGACTTCAATTATCTATCGAGCTCCACTCGCAATCGATAAAGTAAGGATCATTAACTTTAAAATATCTCTCTCTCTTTCTCTCATATATTCTAAGAAATAACCGCTGGCAACACAATATACCGGAAGAGAAATACATTTAGCGCAATTATAATTGATCGATAATCTTGATAGTCACCTTGTTGTACAAGGAAAAAAAGAGAAATTTAATTATCGTTTTTTTATATTATACTATCTTAGACGATATGTACAAGATATTGTTTATGGTAAAAATACATTTGAAAGAATTATTTATCTTGCTTCGTGCTGACAATATCTCAATGACGTCGACAAATATGAAGAAATCAAAACATCAAATTTTCGCTTCGTCCCATAGAGTCAGTCTCTGGTGATCAAGTATGTTTTTCTTTCCGCGACGAATTTAAATCCGTCGCTTTCCTTTTTTCTAGAACGGCAGTTCGGAGAGCGTGCCGGCGGGTCGAGGCAGCGACCCGACCTCGCCCTCACCCTCGCCTTCGGAGGGCAGGCACGCGGAGGCCGCGGAAACAACAGCCGGCTCCAACGTCCTCAAGATGGGCAGCACGGATTCGGCAGGCAACGCTCGCGGGCCCTCCTGCGGTATCGTCAGCTCCCTTCTGCCCACCAGCTGTCGGGGTAGCGCGGAGGCTTTCGCCCGGTGTCTTCATCGACGGCTAACGTCCTTGAGCGGCGAAAACGGCTCGCCCGAGCGAACCGGGGATGCCGCCGTACCGCGCGAGACCTCGTGGTTACATCCGTCGTCGTCGAGCAACCGCCACTCCACCGCCAACAGTCTCGCCGCCATTAATCAGCATCCGATTCTTCAGCATCAGCCGCGTCACAGTTCGGAGTCGGATCTCTTCTACGAGTTGGAGGACGGGCCGGGTTCGCCTGCCGAGGAAGCAACCGCTGCCGAGTTGGCGCATCTGCTGGTGAACCCGGAGATTCTGAAGGCGAACCATCACGACGCCTGCCACTGTTCGCCGAGTGGGACTAGGATGACGCCCGGCCTCGTGGGTGTTCATTCCGGAGATTCCGAATCCGGATGCATCTTTGCGTCACCGATCGCCGGCACGCCGCCCGATAGCGATTCTCCAGAAATGTTCTTCGACCCAGAATCTTCGGATGCTGAGAAATTAAAGAGCGAAGCCTTCTTCGACCCGATCAGCACTTCGGATAGCGAGGTCAACAATTCGAATCTCACCAATGTTAATTTTGTTCGCGCGAGGGCCAAAATTGCATTGAACGGACGCGCTAGACGGACAAACACGAATATGGAACGCAACGAAGATACAACGTCCGAGTCGAGCTGTTCGTCGAGAAGAAAACCCGCATCTGAGCAGGAAGAACAGGTCGTCTGCAGTTCGGAGGATTCGCTCAACGGCAGGAGCTCTCAAGAAACGACGTCGCCCAGCCATGAGTCTCTGTGGAGCACATTCGACGATAGCACTATGTCATTGCAGGACGAGAGTCCGCCCAGGATCATCCAGAATTCCGTTGTTCCTTACATCTGCCTGCCCAAGTCGCATTCAGACTCTGAGCTACCTAGCAACGGTATTAACACGGCAATATTCAACAAACTCAAAACAGACAGGTGGAACGAAGAGGTAGAGGAAGAGGAAGAAGACAAGGACAACGAAAAGGACAAGGACGACGAACATGATGTTGACGAAGTTAACTTCGTCAATGGTGTATCGAAGAAAATGATGGACAATGACAAAAATGACAGTGAACTCGACGATTTTCTTAATGATGTTGAAGACTCAGTTGATAAGGCGAAGAACCGGACAGATTGTACAGAATCCGCAGATGTCACGATAGTACCATCAATAAATACAGCGCTGCTAAAAGTGGAGGATACGGTCGCCAATGACAGTGATACCGATCAATCTGCTTATAGCAGCGCCTTTGATATTCCGGAAGTGCTTACATTGGAATGCTCAAGCAGCGATGGGATGACAACTTCGAAGAGCGAGCTAAAGTTGCAGATCGAAAACGATGACGCGCTACGTGATGGCGAAGAGGAGAGGCTGAGTTTATTGCTGAAAAAGCTCGGCGATAATTCCAATGTGAAAGAAGACTCGTCATCACTGGAGCAAGAGACACAGAGCGAGATAGTGGAAGAGGAGGAGGACAGGCCGCAGAGAGTACGTAGGTGTTCCTCGCTGAAGACAGGAAAAACGCCCCCAGGCACGCCGCACAGGAAGAAGATTGTCCGTTTCGCAGACAAGCTCGGTCTCGATCTGGCCGATGTGAGGACGTTCCTGGACGAGATACCGAAGATACCGAATTCTGCGTACAGCGACTTGATCTACGATGACATTTTCCGACCGCAACAAGACAACGGCAGTGCGGACAACGGCAGTGCGGACAACGTCGCGCCAACCACTAGCAATCATCCCTGGTGCAACCGTTTTCAGGACGATGGCAGGCGCAGATCCATGTCGGCGATACCCAGGAAGCACGACCGGATGCTGGTGCCGTTGTTCCAGCAACCGGGCGGCGTGGCGAACTTTCTTGATATAGTGCGCGAGCGGCGGGTTTGTCTCGAAAACGTACTAGTGCAGGACCCGGTGACCTTGGCGATTCAAGGCTCGGTGCGCGTTATCAATCTCGACTTCCACAAGTCCGTGCACATACGTTACACCCTCAACTCTTGGCGAAACTTCAGCGACCTGCAGGCGACGTACGTGTCCAACTCGTGTGACGGATTCAGCGACAAGTTCACCTTCATCCTCTATTGTCATACGCTACTGGTCGGTCAGAGGCTCGAATTCGCGGTACGTTTCCAGTGCAAGGGAGCACAGTACTGGGACAACAACGGCGGTGCCAATTACTGCTTTCAATGCTTGCCGGCCACGTCATCGACCGGATACATACCGATCACCGCTGACGAGAATCGACGCACCAGCTGGTCACCGACGTTCTACTGATGAATGACCGAATCGACTTGACATGACGACGGCACGGAAACACAAACAGACTGAATCAGTTGTTAATGAAGAGGCTAACGGCGCGAACTCGCGGTACTTCTTACACGTTCCTAGACAAGTGCTTCGCGACGAAGTGTGAAAAACGAAACTCTCGGGATTTATCATTGTTTTCTGATGCTTACGCAGGGCTTTCGGAGAGCTTGCGTGACGATTGTGTTATTAATTTCACATTTGGATGCGAAGAATTCCTTCAAGTGTACACTTTGGATACTAATAAGAAATATTCGCAATATTCTCGAGGATTAATTTTGTAAAACTTATTTTAGAAAATAAGTTTTTTGTAGATTTAGAAATGAAACAAGAATCGTGCATTTTTTGTTTCTATCGATATTAAAGTGCGAAACAACTTTTTAAATTTTACATCAAATTTTTGTAATAACACACTAAAATGTCTTTTGATATTTTATATAGTTTACTCTCCGAAATCTCTTTCCACGAAAGCGTTTCCCGAGGAATTACGAAATATACTCCGCCCATTTCCCAAACTGTACCTGTCAAGCCAACGGAGATTAAAATCTTGAAAGCTAGATATCTTCTCGCGCGAAGCGAAAAAAATGAGAGTACTCGTTCCAAGCTATGAAATGGCCTAAACAGAGCTGGCACAAGAAACGCTAAGGGGCAAGTAGACGGTTTAAACGTTCCTATGGAAAGAGTACCTTTACAGAGTTTATGTCAGAGTTAAAGCTGATGAATCATTTAATCGATCGTATGAAGGAAATGTCGCTCACGATCGCGATTTTGTTAGCCGGTACAACGACGACAGACGATAATGAAATGAACTTTGTTATAATAATATTAGTCCTTGTTAGCGATATTTTGCGAGTTTAGATTTTATTGTAGAGAATGTTCCGTAAGGTGTCACACGTACAAATACATTTATACTTTTCTTTCGGGATATTGCGCTCGACATCGAGATGGGACTTTAAATAATGTAAGATTCAAATGTAACTGGTGCCTCCAAAGATATATCACTCAATTATATATATTTTTCAATTCAATATAATAAAGATTTTAACGTTTTTATAAATCGTCTATTTTTTTTGTCGAAAATATGAAGTCGAATTATCTTTAGAGAAAATTTCTCTCGCAAGATTATTATTGGTTTCAAAATCACTCAATATCGGAAAATAAAAAATTTTGAAGTGAAAGAATAATGGAGAAAAATAAATATAAGGGCTGGATATATACTATCTGAACATTGTTTTTTGTCCATTGAAAATCTCTTTCAGACTAATATTTCATTTCGTGTTGCAGGAGATCTAGTGTATATCAAAGAGTTCCATTCGTGTGAAAAAAAAAAAAACGCGTGAATGTTATTTTGTATATATATTATATGCATACGTGTACAGGTAGCGTCAGTATTGGTGGCAGGCGTGTCATTCATTGACTAATTTTACTTTACTCAGCATAACATTAATGCATCACATTACATTATTAGAATTCGTTGCGTTTTACGATATAATCTTTGTACATATCGTTATACGATGCTTCCCTTACGCAATCTATGTACAATATATTGTACATTGAAAATGCGTCGATTGTGCGGATGGAAAGATTTTTTGTGAGAATTTATTTAAAGTACGAATCCTCTGAGATAGAGATCTTTTTTAATTTTATATTCAAGGATTATGTATATTGTCGTTTTTGCGTGCACAATTGACTTCTACTTTTTATACAGTCCTACATCATATTTTTGCAACCAGGAATATCCATAAATATTTTAGCATCTATCGAATTATCATTATATGCTTCTCAGATGTACTTTTTCTTTACATTTTAATAAATAAGTCGCATCTTTCAGCCATATCTAAAGAGTACGATGATATGGGTTTTTTGTTATCGATTTATTGTATTCTATTGTTAATATATTATTCGATCTATATAAAATTAGGATTTGATACTCTAGAAACAATAAAATTATTTTGTTATTATATAATTTTATATTATAAAATATTTTTGTAATATATCAGATTATACAACTGCTTTGTTGTTGCTTTTTATAAATTTTTATCTTATCTTTTCTTCAATTCTCGATCATGTTTTCCTGCATACTTAATCTTGGGATTAATGACGCTGCCATAAATCATTTTTTTCTCGTGACATTAATTTATACTATAAAAGTTAAATATCGAATGCCACGTAGACCATCATTATTGAGGCGCGCATAATGATGTACACATGTGAAACAAATCGAATAGGTCAATCGAATAGGTTCATCGCTAGACAATATTGTAGAATTTTTCAGCGTCGGATGTGTGTGTAAATTAGCTTCTTGACGGAATATTCTGTAAAAAATAAGCGTTGATAGAGTAAAGTAAGATATATTTGATAATAAAACAAATTTAACAATCTTTTAGTCATCGGCCGTTGAATTCCGTGCAGCAATAGAATTTCATAAGATTGTTACAAGGTTGCCATATATGACACTTATTATTTACTGCACAGCTAGAAATTATTAGGAAAATTTTTCTTTACCGCAGATCTAATGGATAGTATTTTACGCAGTTTTATTCACGTTTTTTAAATAATATTGTTTTTTGTATCTTTTGATGTTATCTATATGTATTATTGATTGTTTTCCACAAAAAAAAAACATTTCTAATTTTAACTGTTTACACACAATAAAAATAAAAGAAATAAATTATCAACGAATTTGTCACGATAATTTTACGTAAAGTAAAAAGTTTAATTAATACAAAAATAAAAGTAAAATTTTATATATATATATATATTTCCTTACAACTGTAAGAAAAAGTTGAAATTTGAAATATTATATCTCAAATTTTACCGTATCACATACTCTATATGTATAATGTGCGTTATAAATATAATAACAATGTAAAGATGTTATATATCATATGTATGTTGAAAGGAGTACTGTTATATATGATCAGTGTACGTCGTCACGGAAGTAAACTATCGAAAAGCGCTAATTATATTTGCGATGTGCATATACGACGCACATGTAACTTCCAGTAAATGCGAGAATGTTAGCGAGAGAAATCACACCGAGAATATTTTCCTAAAGATTGTTATCAAGAATTTATGTCGTTGATCAAGATGCAATGATTACTAGTATAACCGGTAGTAATAATTAAGTAATTATAGAATTAATTAATAATATAGCGACGATTGAAATTGTATCTTTTGACCACCGAGTTAATCTTGTCGTATAGTCCGTTTCCGCTAGGTATATCGAAAAGAATGGAGAATGTTGCAATAAGTGCGTGTACTAATCTCATCGATCATTTTATGTACGGGGCTTTTATATATATTCCTCTACTTTTTAATCTTAACGGGCTATAAAAATCGATGATGCGTGAATGAGAGTAGTTGTCATCGTTTGTTTTTTTTGTTTATGTTTTGATTCGAACTTTATCTATGTCTCGAAATCTCTCTCTCTCTTTCTCTCTCGAGTAAGCAATCTTCTTTTGCGATTTGGAGGTAAAAGGATGAATATCTTTGATATATTTGTATAGTTTCTTCCTTCTCTTTCCAAATTGCAGACCAATATTGTTCTCGCTGCGAGATATTGCTGTCATATTTTACGTCGTTTATTATGTCGGAATATTCCTAATCGTTATAAATCATTAGATCATTATAAATTATATGACTATAAACTCATCAATCGTGTTTCCTTGTAAGTACTTCCATAATGATATGTTCAATATACATACAAAGTAATCGCATTAATTAATGTAGTTCTGTTAGAAATACATCACAATAGTAGTTCTGTAACGAATCATTAATGATAACGTCGTGACAATGAAGAAAAAAAAAATACTTTCAACTTTGGTTATCTGGATATTTGAAACACCATATTTTATCAGATCATATTTTATGGTGTGGACATTTCGATAAAGATTTTTGTTTAATTTGCGCGATAAATACGCGGAAGAAAATCGTGCGTGCATGAAAAGCACACAGTCACCTTTACAATAATGATATGTCTGATTAAAGCAATTTATAAGTACAATACATTTTATCGCGAGCCTAAAAGTGGGAATAAGAAAGGACGCTTGAAAGATTCGCTGGAATTTTTGTGAAACGAACTATTTTTTTGGTCTCCCCGTTTATACTTGTACCTTACCTTAAGATTTCGTAACTTTAACGGCGTTTCTGTCTCGGACACAGAAGAGAGATCAAGGGATCTCTAAACATTCTCATCTACGACGAAAATCACTTTTGTGGATACCGTTTGTAGGTTTTCAAGATAAAAGTCCTATCACATGTCGCGAATATTAGAAGACAAGGAAATAACGGTGAAACATCGATAGTTACAGTTACAATTGTATAATATTGTAAAATAAAGACTGTTAGAGCTCCCCCCCCCCCCCCAAATAGATCTCGAGAGTATATAATTGAATACATACAATAATAAATATATTATTTTTTAATTAATTTTAATTGGTCTCTGTAAAATAGACTTGATTCTACACATTTGTCATAGAATATGTGCCTAGAAAAATTATGATCTTTTCGGGATATCTATTACAATTTACATTTTATAAATTTATGATCTGTACACAATTTGCGCGAACTACATGTTTACGGAACATCGCATTTTACATTATCAATAGCGATTTCATCTTGCAACGAGATATAGTATATGTCGGTACCGTCCATGCGTCTATCTCTCTCTCTCTCTCTCTCATCCATACCGGTGAAATATTTATGAATCAATAAGAATTAATATCAATTAATTTGTAGAAAGTTTTACGTCAGATAAATAATATATTCGTGTTGTTGATAAGAAGGTATGGATCGATGGAAAATGTGCCTAAACGTTTGCCTAATCATTAGATCATTATAAATCATATGACTATAAATTCGATCGTGTTTCTCTGTAAATATTTCTGTGTCCGAGACAGCGTCGATTAGCGTATATTTTTCTATGTAAATACATAGATATACATGGATAAGTCGAAATCTGCGTCAAATCTTTTGCAATGTTGAAAACTGTTACCGAATTCTATTTCTATTACAAAGTCAATCTAATGCAACAGTCCGAAACAATGCATATCAATGATCAATTCGACTTTATATGTTTGCGAGAATAAAATACTGGACCTGCGAACGTATATTTACGAAAGTTTTTCGTAAAATTTACTTGATGATAATTGAATATAAAAAGATGTAATTATTTTAATGTCAAAGGGCGCTGATAAATTCGCAGATAAAAATACCAAGTCTGAATATACATATATACATGGTGTTCAATTGCAAAAACGCAAGACCAAGTTTGCTTTCAATTATCATGCAATACTTCATATTGTTACGCAATACCGAATTAATTCTTTTATCTTTATGAAACATCGAATAGTTAGATCTAGATAAAAGTTGAGCTCGAAAACTGACTTTAAACCAACATGTTCATATTATTAGCGTGACATATGTTTATTTATAAATATGGTACTGTGTGTTGTATATATCGTAAGAGAACTTTGAACGATTGAAAAATTAATGAAATGTCTTGCGAAATTTTATTAGAATAACTCTCGACGTTACGTTCGCATTATTCGTTACAATCATCTGTATCGTTAGACGAAATTATTAAGTTAAGCGTTTTTTCTTTTCTAATCGAATCAATTTATACGCGTATCGCTATAAGGCGGGAATGCGTGCGTAAATAACGTTGATTGAAAATAGAAGTTAGATATATGCGCGAAAAAAGGCTGAATATAGGGAAGGAGTACAACATGTATACATATATGTATACAAACATATACATATATGATATTTCTGTAACACACATACACACATACACTCATACTTTTGTTCTATATATTATTAAAATAATAAATGAAACGATTCATAATTTCTTTTTGTTTTGTGATCAGAAAAATGTGTCTTATATATATATTCTTATCTTCATCTTATATTTTTATCCCCATATTAAAATTAAATTGAAGAGTGTAAAACAGTGAGATATTTTTGAACTCTTGTTTTTTAAATATAAAACTGTCTCCAAAATGGACTTTACAAATTATGGATTCATTTTCATGTTGCATTATTAAATTTCACTTACGAGTCGTCTAATTTGAAATGGAAAAATTTATATCCAGTGTGCCAGAATACTAAATGGTGATCAATGTTTCTTGGCTCTTACCAGTTAGAAAATGTAAACATCTAAAACGCGCGCACAAATGTCACGGTTTGGGCGATGCGTGTTCACGAGCCTCGTTTTACAGATTCTCGAAATAAAAGTAACGCTATATATATAATCCCGCACTTGTGGTGTGAACTATTTCATCGGATGGAGGAGTGCGATTTGGCACGTACGCATTCGAATGATACATATAAACTCTTTTGACACGGAAAAAATATCAAGTTAACGTTTACCAAAGTATTGATCAATGAGATCGTAGATTTTAAAGTTGATGTTTAATCTATGAACAGGTGTGACTCGATATCGGCTTCAACGATAAAAGATATAGTTGACAACAAATCCTTGGACGACAAAGACAACGCGAGAGGAGTGTTCGAAAGGTGATCCGTCTTTTTTCTTTTAAATGGCAGCGTTTTATTCCAAATAATCGATGAAAGTACAAACGTGTGTTATACATTTTCTCTTCACAAAGCGCAAATACTCTATAACTGCTTAACCTGCATAATTCCTCTCTGTTATCGTAAGTAACTCCGCGATTAAAGGTATCGTGGTTTTATCAGTCTTTGCGTCGTTCCTTCATCACCGACCCAAGAGAAATCATCGCGAAAACGCTACATTTCGATCGCTGTGAAATATATATGCCTAGAATGATAAATGCGTATAAATTGCGCGTGATTCCTATTAAAAAAAAATAGCAACATGACGTCCGATCGCAGAGACTATACGGCACTCGTTGAGAGCGTTTCTATTTCTGGATTGCACGTTGCACACACATTCACGTCACACAGTAATCTTTATATAAAACGAGAGTCCTCCCTCCTTCTCCCGTGGAACTTTGCAAACATTCAACGCTAAATGAACACCACTCTTTTTCATCTTCTTTCAATAATTTCATTTCGATTACATGACTACGTTCTATCTTCGCTTAACATAAGTCTATCAAGATTCTCTTAAATTGCGTCAGATTGTATTATTATATTCGATAAAATAAATCGTCTTCTTTTTTGTCTTTTCATTTTGGAATAGTAGTCTAGAAAATTCGTAGTGGGCTAGATTTCTATCCTCAAGATCCTGTGAAATGGTACTGGATCATTACAGTGATTATAAAGAGATTTAATTCTCTTTTTTCTCTTTCTTCGTAATTTGATAATGTCATGAGATTTTGCTCCTTCTGTAAGCTCATCAAAATTCAAAAGACAAATTGATACAGTGATTGCCAAGCAAATCGAACAAATGTATATTTCCTTCTTTGTCTTTATGAAATAGTCACTGTAATTAAATCTTCGATAACGTCATAAGCTCTTCATTTCGGCTCGGAATAGCCATTATTGGAATTGCGATTTCGATAATATCGCAATAAATTAATAAAGAACACAGTGTTTTTCGCGAAATATTAATCCGAAAATTATTATAGTGTCTCTTTCTCTCTACAAATAAAATATTGTTTCTTTATCATTCGATATCCAATCAAGTTCTCGTAGATTAATAATTCTTCGAAACTAACTATATATCATATTTGTTTTGTAAACTTTAGCAAATCATTCTAATTAATGCACTTATATTGAGAGATATATCCTTTTTCATAACACTTTTTGCGCGTCAACCTTTTAATAAGTACACTCGCGTATACCAGCGGACGGAAGATATCCTTTTTAAAGATTATTGCTCGCCAATCACAGAACGTCGGGCGGCAACTTGAGAGCTCTGTATTGTCTGTAAAGTCGTTGCTTGCAAAACTGGTAGAATTCGACCTCGCGAGTAAAGTTGTTGCGTACCAGGTTCTTCACTTCCTCGCTAACTGGCGGTTTGAAGAAGTTCCGGTTGATCCTTGTAAACGAATTTACTTGATCTGCGTAAAAAAAATTGAAAAAATTATGTACGATTGAAATAACATAATGATAATTTAATTCTGGCAATTTGCAACCGTAACATATATAAAAATATTAAAAAATGTCAAGATATTATTAGTATTAATAATTACTATTACATACAAAATTCTATTAAAATGTTTTAAACTTTTTAGCAGCGTATCCTATTGTAATCGTAAAATAATATTGTACAAACGTAACTGTATCGATTGCCGTTTAATTAAAATAATTGATCAATTATTTACCATAATAAACATTGGTAGCTCCCTGGAAAAACCGTGGTATGTAGTTTTCCAGCACCGCGAGAGTCGTGTTCATGTCCTCTAAGACACCAACCACCGCATAGTGCTTCTCTACCGCCAGCTTGGCTCGTTCCAGAGCACCCACAGTATTAAAAGGACTTAAAAAGACAAGTATATTAAAATATCAAGTGTTTATATATATCATTCTAATAACTATAAAAATTGAGTAATATTTTTAGATTATCAAAGTATAATTATATTATTATTTATTATTTAGTATGCGTACTACATATTGTATTTATTTAATATCTTTGAAAATTATTTTGCATTATTGTGATGTGTGTGATTATTCGATTATTTGCACAGAGATAAATTTTTATATTTATTATATATATTTTACGAACAATATTCTTACGTGCATTTCTCGCTGTGTCCGCAGAAGAAGAGCGTTTGCCTGCGATGATCGCCGATACCTTCGTGGACCTCGCCCTCTAGATATCTGCACTCTCGATCTCCCTTAAGAACGCACGACTCGAAGTCCTTCTTGAGCCAATTGGGATCGGGTAGCGGCAGATCTGGGAAGATCTGCTTCCTCTCCACGTAATACCACGGCGCTCTTACATAATAATACCAGGATATGACTCTCTCCACAGGATCGCGGACCACGTTGATGTAAATCGGCTCCGGCAGATGGAATCTGACGACGAGGAGAGACACAAGGAAAGTAGTGAGTAGAAAATGGTGAGTGGTAGCAATCATTCAAATTGCCTAGGCTAATCTCGTGGCACTCACTCTGTGAAGTTAGTAAAGCAGACGTGCTTTACGTAGACAGAGGGCTCTGAATAGCTGCTGACCATCCTGGCGAGATGAAGCTGAAAATGTATACAAGACAAGTTAATTCACGTACAAATTACGTACAAATTATATTGCAAAAAGTAATAAATCTTTCATTGTTATTTTCCTTATTACAAGCTAACAGTTCTCGTAAATAAAGAGAAATCTTTTTGCACAAAGATCTAGGCAAACGTCAACTTGAACTTTCACTCTAAATCGTACATGCGGATTCTATTTTCTATCGTAATGACAAGATACACATCTGTCCGCAGATCGCTACGTCTCTCTTATCTTTATCACTCTTTGACAGGTTTCTTGGCAAGTTTCTATATGAAAAATAAACGACACGTTCAATTCTCCTCCCTCCTCGTAATTTTATCATGAACGAAAGACCCGCGGCGAGCACGAGGAAGTACGAAGAAGAGACGGAACCGTTAGCGCGTGAATCACTTGATCGGTCCGGGTATCGTCGTACTTTTTTATCACCATGTAGGGCTCGACGGGATTATAAATTAAGATAGGTAATTACTACGCGAACGTCGCTGCGCGATTGATGATAATTGATTGAGGCCCCTTCTGGCCGGGGGTCGTTCGTTACCTGTTCGATCGGCGCAAGACGTATGGTCTCGACTCGCTGCACGCGGTCCCTATTGAATGAAAAAGCATTCCTTATCGACAGCCTCCTCAGCAGCTCCATGAAGGTCTGCGAGCCGACTTTCGGCACGCGATTGAAGAATAAGACCTGCCGGTCGGCCCTTCTCGTATTGTTGAGGGCCTCAATGTCGAGCGTCTCCTGCTCCTCGTACTAGAAGAATCGTTAATATTTTAGCGCATCAATTCTTATATTATCTAATTTAAAAAATAAATCATTTTAGTTTTCTCTATATTCGCGATTGAATTAATATTTAAATATTATTTCGTATTATTATTAATATTTTAATATAATTAATATATTAATATTAATATTTGAGTATAATTATCATAAAATTAATATCTCAATATTTAAATATAATTATTCATAAATAAAATTATATAGATGATGCGGTATATCGAAATGTCAAAGTGATCTTTCAAAAACGCATGATGTAAAGGAACATCCAAGGAACAGAAATCGAAATGCGGGGAACGTTGCGGAGATATAATTTACCGACGACTTTAACCATTCATTTTCGGCGCCGACCCGTCATTATCGGGGCTTCGCGTTCCCCGCGAAAGGAAGAATATATTGTTTCGCGCGGGACGTTTCCGATTCCCTCTCGTTAGATAACGATTCGTGTTATTAGCAAGTCATTCCGCGGCATAAGGCGAACGAAGGTAAAGGTGCTTTAGCGCAAGTGTAGGCAAAGCAGATACAGGAGGCAGCTGCCCGCGTCGCGAATTGCTGATACCCAGCAGCGCGGTAATAAGCGATCCATTCTCTATCTCTCTCACTCACTCTGGTCTCGCGTATATCTTCCGCGTATATTTTCGCCACTAGCAGTTGTGCATCGATCGATGTGTTTTCTTTTTTTTTTCTCTGGCGCGAAACGCACGCTGCATGCTAATTTATCAGATCGAAGCGTCGTAAAAATTAGCGCCTACACACGCGCGTACATATGTATGAGCGAAACGTATCTCGTTTCCGCTTTACGAAGACGGGAATTAAGAGAAAAAAATTGCCCGGTTTTCATAAATTAGATAATAATAACGAAAGTCATTAAAGGGAATAATAAAAGGCTTCTTAATTATAACGTAATAATTGTGAAACAAAAACGTCATCATCATTTACTGATAATTTCATCTAAGGTTCTCCCCTCTAAGTTCTGAATTATTAAGAACGTACAAAGTTATTAAGTAATTTTTTGCTTGTATATGAAGTAATGATTGCGCTAATTACCTTCCCCGTAACAGTACGCTGCACATTTGAGTAATGGATGATTCCGCTTGGATTGGAATCCGTTTGAACGCCTTCTGAAAACACAGATATAGCATCATTAATAATGATTCATATATCCCGGTAATTAAATTAATTAAAACGGCGTCATAATAACAGCGTAAAGAATATAACAATGTATATCGATGACAAATTCATAAGAAATTAAATTTATCAGAAATTTATTTGAAAGGTAACGACGGACTTTAGTTTGTTGTCTATAACGCGGTCGCGAATTTTTTCTCTTCTGTCTCGCGGAGAAAACCGCGGACGGATTTGTGTTGTGTCATTGAAGAAAAATCGTCTCCGCGCGCGGAAGTGAACGAACTTCGTTTAACGTTTGATGGACAGCCACGTCACGCGAGTCAGCGAATGTCCTGAGATTCCCTGCCTCCGCCGTCACGACCACGTGGGAAATTGCGTGCGTAATGACGGGAGATCTCTAACTGAGACACGTACAGCTTCGCTTTAGAGAACGCTCGTATAACACAAGATTAAAAAGTTCCTTAAAATCCCTTTCCGGTATTTGTGTTTTAATTTATTAAAAAACCATACTCTAATTTATTAAAGTTTTATATGTACGTTGACTCGATGTTTCAATGCTGCTATTTAATTTTACATCTGTTTTCAATTATAATAATTTTCATTCATACACGAAGTAAATTATTATTGGAAATATAATAAATTGTTATTGTAAAAATTACAATATAATTTTTTGTAATCGTGAAACATGCTAACATATAAGAGAAATCACACAATATTTTTATTTGATAAGATATCTATCATATTTTACAAAGGAGTGAGTATTGTAATTATTCAAATTTTTGCACAAATAAATGCACAATCGTTAACAAACAATAGAATAAGTACATAATTTACAATTTTTGTAGCAGTAAAAATATCTCTTAATACCGTTATATTCTAGCTTTACAACAATGTTATAAAAGTCAATGTATTTTTCACGTAATTTGTACCGTTAAATTTTCTCATCCGTATACTATTAAACCTGACACATGTCTATGTCATTTAACATTCAGCGAAATACATGTGGCATTTCTTGATTCTCCAACAGTTTCTCGACCCTATCTCTGTTTCTACGATTTCACGGATTTATAGTAACATCGAGATATCGCGTATTCCGCGAATGTGTCGGCGGCTTGTTGTCTGACGTGACACGCGTGCAGATCTCTATCATGTATTTCCCGACACGCGACGGAATTCGTTGCGACGTACAAAGGTACGCCGGAAATACCGTAACAAAGTCCGCGTGATCCGTTACATGCGTGTACGAAACAACGACGGAGTTATCTCATAGAGCCAGCACCGCGGGATTGTCGGCTCGGAACACGTTGCCTGCGAACATTGATGGATAAGTTCGACGGTCCTATTCACTTTGGTACGCGTAATTAACATTGTAATTACATGCGGTCTCTATAAGTACACATTCTTTATATATGCGTGCGATAATTAACGCATGATAACAGAAAATTGACGATTTAATTATCGGATTATGATTTCTCATGGGCTGCGTGATTGATTATCGGCGCGATTCTTCGAAATTCATCAAGTCTCTTAGATCTTCACGAGTGAGTTCTCCGCGAGAATAAATCCTTTCCTCCGACTTTTCTTGTCAGCGCGGACGACATTGCATGCGAGTAAAACGAGACCCCACCATAAATTAACGCGTTCGCGGTGATTAAGAGGTCACCGCGGAACTCGGCCAAGATCAACGATCCGCGGAAGGGACCGGAATCGAGGTCCCCATAGGCAACCGTCGGTCATCTCTAGAAAGTTTACCGCGCTCCCCGTCGAGATGCTCCGAGAGAGGAGCATCTCCTCTCACGCGCGAGAGAGAGAAAAAAAAATGCGCGCTCGCTGCGGGCGATGAGCGTCTCTCCCTCTCTCTCTCTCTTTCTCGCTCTCCGTGTTTCTGCTCTGGCGCAGCCAGCTGGAAATGAGATCTTGTTTCGTGCGAAGCCGCCAGGCAGATCGTCCGGTATATACTTTGTCTCCGATCGACGCGACTAATCCGATTCTTCCGCCCGATCGCGGTTTAATCCGCGCGATTTAACGCTCGACGCGCGCGTCCGCATTTAAACGAACACGCGTAATGCAACGTGTTATTTTATCGTTCACGTGAGAGTATTAATTTGTCGAAAGTATCATGTTTCGAAAGTTTTCGTATCATTCTTTAACGACGTTATCTGAAATTGATCGTGCTCACGCGAGAAAGTTTTGTTTCGGAGCGTCCAAGAGCGTTATATCTATTTATATCCCGACAAGGTCACGGACGGTCAACAATTAACATTCCATCTGAAATCTGGAAATCAAATTCAACGAGAGAAATCGTTCGTGAGGAAAATGTAGCATAGCGGGCATTCTCAGAGTCGAGATTGTACGGGGAGATAAAAGCGTGCGCGCGCTCGCGAGAACAGCATCCCTCGCGATCGCCAGGAAAGATGCGAGGTCGCTTCGTGATCGGACTTGACAATGCCCTGGCCAGAAGAGGACGGGGGGGCTTCTTCAGTGACCTCACGCAACGCTAGTGGACCGATTATCGATGGTGTATATCGCCTCGGTTCTCTCTCTCTCTTTTCTTTTTCGATGCCTTTTTCCCTCTTTCGAGTCAAATAGCTCTTTTATCGCAACACTTTGCGAACGAAGCTTGTTGCGCGAAGTAGACATTCGATTGACGCGAGCACCGCAGCTGCAACTCGCGCACAATGCGATGAGTTATGCACAAGATTGGTTCGCGATAGCTCCATGTAATAACGGTTTCCGTCGGCATTGTGTTCCCTCCACTCCTCTCTAGCTTTTGCTTGTAAAATCGAGTTCCGTATAATAGAAAGCCAAGTCCGTGGGTGCATACAACGTAGGTGTTATAATTAATTCCCGATCGGCTCGTTATAACTGTGGGTTATCGAGCCGATAATGGCAAAATTCTTACGTCGAACATTTTCTCTCGTGCATCTTGTATATTCCTCAAAGTTGGTATTTAATATAGTATCCCTAATTAAGCGCACTTTCTTTGTATTATAGGTTCTTCTTATTATTATACTTTATATTCGTTCAGAGCGATATCTATCAGGGCAAGATTTTCTTTCCTCGCACAAATTGAAAATCGTTCGATGGCGAATATAATTGATTATCGGCCATTATCGTGCTTATGCAGCGATGCACCAGCGACCGCGCGACGCCAGAGGACATCCATCGGCCACAATCGACGAGTCTCGTGACCGATACAGATGCAAGTTTAATGACGGACGGACGAGAGGCACCGCGCGCGTCCGGAACTGCACGCTCGCCGGGGGCATCGTCGCTCAGCGTAGGCGTAGGGGCTTTATTCACGTCATTCACAGGCTTAAGACGTAGCCACGGTTACATTGATGGCTGCAAAAAAACCATCCCCCCCCCCTGCGC